AAAAGCGTTTTTGCCTGGTATAACCTTAACTCTAGCAATTGGAAATAATATATAATATCAATATATAATAATATTATTTTATAATAATAATCGGAAATTATGATATCACGTTAAGATTCTTAATAATATTACTATTTTGTTTCGAAATCAGACTATACACTGCGATGGGCTAAATTTAGTTTGCAATAAACTATGGAATATAATGCGATTAAAATTGAAAATTGAAATTGCGTACAGTATTTTCACTTAAATCCTTAAACTTAGAGAAATACAAAACGTGACCTAATTAAGTTACCTTGCTTACATTAATACGAGTATTAGATATGTTATCACAGTCTATCATGAGTACTTACATGCAAAATGTCAGCGATTTTTTTTATGGCAATTCCTTCCCGAATGCACATCTTGTACATGGTGAAGTAAAACCGAAATAACGATTTTTAATTAAAACAAACTTCGCAAAGTTCATGTTAAGTAAGTTTTTAAATTGTTTTTTACTTAAGAAATTATATATGAATTTCCGATTATCTACCATAAAACGACTGCTACTTAGCTTCCTACTTTCACGTCTGATGCAGACGACATGACTCTATAACTGGTTAATAATATCAGGTTATAATAACTGGTTAATAATATCAGGTAATAATAACTGGTTAATAATATCAGGTTAATAATAACTGGTTAATAATATCAGGTTAATAATAACTGGTTAATAATATCAGGTTAATAATAACTGGTTGATAATATCAGGTTATAATAACTGGTTGATAATATCAGGTTTATATAACTGGTTAATAATATCAGGTTTATATAACTGGTTAATAATATCAGGTTTATATAACTGGTTAATAATATCAGGTTTATATAACTGGTTAATAATATCAGGTTTATATAANCAGAGCACACCATTCTCCACCCACATCACCTGTTCACCACACAGAGCACACCATTCACCACCCACAACACCTGTTCACCACACAGAGCTTTCCATTCACCACTCACAACACCTGTTCACCACACAGAGCATACCATTTACCACTCACCACTCTAAAATTCACCACGTCTGTACGTCCTCATCACGTACAAATACAACCATTCACCACATTTAGTGCACCACACTTATCTTATATGCAGAATTACACTCAGCACTATTTTCATCACACACATAATGGCAACAATTCTTACCACAATATAACCTTACCACGCACCAACCACACCACACGCACCAACCTAGAAGCACCACACGCACCACACGCACCAACCTAGAAGCACCACACGCACCACACTCCAGGAAATAAAGCAACCTGTCAAGTCACCACCCATGAAAACAACTTTCACCAACCCCTTCCCTCTTTCCTCCATCCACCCACACACCTCCTCCCTTCATCCACCTCTTCACCTCAATATCTCCATCTTCATCTTTCCCTCAACATTCCCTTTCTTACTCTACATTTCTCCTCTAATCAACATTCCCTTCCTTCTCCCAGGCTCTTACCCTCACCTATATTTCTTCTTCATACCCTTCATACCTTTCATACCCTTCATACTCTTTACACCCTTCAATCCCACTTCAAAGTTCTTCTCAAATATTTATTGTTTTTTTTCAAGTTATTGGTAAATTTGGTGTCTATCCGTTTGCATTGATCATTTAATTTTGTACAGTTCATATCATTTATTTTCGATTTATCCGTGAAAATTTGAAATTCACAATAAAGTCATTAAGTAAATCGGTTAATTATCTTGATCATTAATCAAAAGATAGATCTTTGATTCACATTTCGGAAAAGCTTGAATCGCTTCAGCGTTCAACTACGTAAACTTCTACCATAATAACTTCACTCACTTTAAACTACATTCACGAAGACAAAAAAAAAACACAATTTCGTCTTATAATTTTGATTCTTTGAACCACGTTTGACTTTTCAAAAATAAATCTCAATAATGGAACATTCTATCTCCCGCCCCTCTATAAATCATTATAACCTCTTCTCATCGTATTAGTGGAAAGCCTGAACGTTTATCTATATCATCCACATAATGTTAATTAATCCAATGTTCCTTCACAAAAAACGGGTGAAAAAATGAATGGTTCAATTCAGACAAATATATGAATGTATAGATATACAAACTATATATAAATATTTATGGCTTGGAGAATCCCTTACGAGACTTAAACGGGCCAACGGGCTGATAGTGGTCACAGTACCGGGTCCACATATATGTATAACCTGCAACGGACTGATAGTGGTTCCAGTACCGGGTCCACATAGTTAATCTGCAACGGGCTGATAGTGGTCCCAGTACCGGGTCCACATATATAATCTTCAACGGGATTANATAGTGATCCCGGTCCCGGGTCCACATATTTAATCTGCAACGGGCCAATGATGGTGATCCCAGTACCGAGTGCGCATAGTTAATAACGCGGTTATGTCTTGCATGTTCCCCGCAACCCGTAAGTTAAATTCTCGCAATTAAAAGTTTAGTTTCGAACGGGGATTGGGCAACGATTTCATTAATACGACATAAATTCAGTCACTTTCATGGAACACATTTTAAATTAATAGTGTTGTCTTAAACTCATTACATAAATTAGCTGCTGGTAATTCCGACAAATAATCACAATGGTCGAAAATTCTCTAAATTGAAAACTAAGTAATTGATGTCACTTATTTGCTTAAATCGCAAGTTAACCAAAAATTTAAAAGCAAGGATTAAACCACAAATGTTCATATCTTTATATAATCTGCAACGGGCTGATAGTGGTCCCAGTACCGGGTCCACATAGTTAATCTGCAACGGACTGATAGTGGTCCCAGTACCGGGTCCACATATATAATATTCAACGGGGTGATATTGGTTCCAGTACCGGGTTTGCATAGTTAATAACGCGCTTTGTCTTGCAAGTTCCCCGCAACACGTAAGTTCAATTCTCACAATCGTTCCAGGCTTTACAATGATTGTATCGCATTCTTTATCAGCAAATTAAAGTTTAGTTTCGAACGGGGATTGGGTTATGATTTCATTAATACGACATAAAATTAGTCACATTCATCAAACGCATTTATAAATTAATAGTGCTGTCTTAAACTCATGAAATCAATTAGCTACTGGTAATTCCGACAAATAATCACCGTGGCCGTAAATTCGCTTAATTGAAAACGTGATAGTAAGATAATCTAAGAGCCCGAAACGATTGTTAAAATAAAGGTTATTGACCGCGGGGAAAATCCAATACAAAATTAGATGCGTGTTTTGCTTTCCCGCCTCCGGTACGTATCCGTTTTCGAAATTACTTACGCATGAAATCAATTAGCAATAAAATAATAATAGATCACTTGTAATTGAACTGAATGAAGAAGCCAATTTTTGCATATACACATACCAAGTTGCTGCTTTTCCAAGTTGCTGCTTTTAAAATGTTAAAGCCGTTTGTTTAAAAAACACATCTTATGTTGTTACTTGAAAGATGTTTCTCTACCATGCAGAAAGTTTGTGATGTTACGTGTCAATACATTTAAACTTACAGAAAATTTACAAGTTTACGTTTTAATATTTAACTTCACTTTTTACCGTGTTTTTCTGTCACGTACGGGAGTCATCGGCGTCACAATGGCTTTATTTGCGTTGCGTTTTTAATTAGGACGTTTGAAGAAAATTTAACGGAAGTTGAACACGATTAAAAGCGAACGATAGAAGCCTGCGAAGATTATTTAATTTACGGCTTTTTATAAGCCTAAATTTATGAGGTACTTCACATAAAAGATAAGACCAGAAGGATATTCAATAATTACTCAAATTACACAATCAAATGATCGTGTTTACACGCTTCCGCAAGTTTTATAAATAGACCCTAATAAACTGCACCCCAACACAGCTAGATAAATACGACTATACGAGAGGAATTAATTTCTAAGATAAACACAGACTAATAACTTATGTCAAGCAAAATAATTAAGCTATATAACCAATTAATCTATTGATAGACGATATGTTATCACTTTACCTTTGTTAGCGGTAGATATTTTCCTTTGTTGCAGAAGATAAGGCAGCACGGATGCTACTATGTCAACAGTTAATTGTCACTCTTCACGGAAACTGGAAAGCTATTCGTACACTTATTATAAAACTTAAATCTCATGAACATACAATTTGTTCATGGTAATCAATGTTGCGCATTATTCAAGTATTGGACAAGAAGTCAGGAGCTGTTGGCAGAAAAGAAAGGTGTTTCTTTTGACCGTTAGTAGGAGTCACTGGAAGTGGGTCGAAAAATTCGAGAGCAGCTCGCACCTTACTACCACCACGTCCAGGACCGCACTGAGCTCCTCATGCGGTCACCTGCTAGTCTAGTAGCGGGTGCCACTCACATGGCTTGGAAATTATTATAATGAAATTTGTACAAATTTCGTTGAATTTTACTCAATTAAATTATTATTAATAGATATAAATCCACATCGAATTTGATTTAGTTATAGTTTTCCTTTTTATGGCTTAGATTACTAAGTTTTACCAACGATCACTCATGCCGTCGCATTGAGTCCTCCAAAAAATGTAACGTTAATCTGGAATTTTTATTTTATTGAAAATAAATTAAAAGGGATAATCGATTTTTATATATTTTTAATATATTGGCAACAACTATTAGCCAACAGGGAATAACGGGAAAATAGTATCACTGGTAAGGGATGAATAAATTAAAAAATTTACACTTGAAATAAAAATTACAGGATATTTGGTGTAATCGTAAGAAAATGTATTGGCAAATCATATTAGACCAGACGTATTCAGAGAAAAAAAGCAAACCTATTGCTATAGTAAATGTAATTTAGAAATGAAAACAGATAGAAAGTAATTCCTCAGTTCATTTTCTACGTAGTCGTTTTTTTGACATCTGAACGAAATCTTGCAATCTAGCGCAGATTTGTCGCGCTTCTTGCAGCGCTGACAACGCAGCGCCGAGGCTGCCTTTCGCTTCAGCTTTCCCCGCTGACTCACCGCTAGACCGTCTGCACGGTCTGCACGGTCTGCACGGTCTGCACGGTCTGCACGGTCTGCACGGTCTGCACACGTCCAGTGTCTGCACGGTCTGCACACGTCCAACGTCTGCACGGTCTGCACACGTCCAGCATCTGCACGGTCTGCACACGTCCAGCGTCTGCAAGGTCTGCACACGTCCAGCGTCTGCAAGGTCTGCACACGTCCAGCGTCTGCACGGTCTGCACACACGTACCTTGTGCACTGTCTGCAATCAAGTGACTGAACCAGTCACTTCCTGCTGATGATGATCCAGTTCGACTGAACCAGTCAAGTCAACGAAATAATACAGGTCGACTGAATTTTCCATACCGACGCTGGANATGTCAATTATACGTTAATTATTCATACCGACGCTGGGCCAACTCAGCGTTACGTTGAGCTGACCCTCAGCTTTCCAGCCCTCGGGACAGTGCTGTACCGAGTGGTCGCCTCTGCAGTGGCAGGAAATGCCATCATACCGCGATCCTTCACTTTTTGGGTAATAAATATTGACACGTTACTGTAACACTAAAGTTCTTGCTCTGTGTTAATATTATATCGATACTTACCCCAGTATTGAATATCATTCCAATGCTTGCCCTCATATCAAATTTCATTCCGATACTTCCCCTCACATTGAAAATCATTCCGATACTTCCCCTCATATTGAAAATCATTCCGATACTTCCCCTCACATTGAAAATCATTCCGATACTGGCCCTCACATCATATATTTATCCCAGATTTGCCTCCATATCAAGCTTGTGATTCCCTCGATTACCCTTACATTGCCTACATCATATACTTTCTCAAAGCATTGCACCACCTGTAGCACTTTATCTTTTTCCCTAAATACCCTTAATGATTAATAGCTTACCGTCATGCAATCCTCCATCAATTCACCAATTATCTACACATTATCCTAACAAATTTTCCTTTACATTCTCAGTACCATCATCATTAAGATGTTTAAAGTCGCTTTGAAAAACTCACGGACTCAACGACCTTTAATAATTGTGCGTCCGCTCTAACATTTCATAATGATCTATCCGGTGTCAATCTCATTATATTCATTATATTCATTGTATTTATTATATTCATTATATTTATTATGTTCATTATATTCATTATATTCATTTATATATTCACTATATTCACTGAATTTAGAATGGGTGTATTTATGTGAACGGAAACCTTCAGCGGCATCAGTCAAGTCATCAGCATTGTCATGACTGTAATTAGATATCTCTCTATAGATATAAATTTATTAATTCTTTCATTAGTATTGTTCGACACATTCGAGGAAAACATTATTATGCTAATACAGTAAATAATTATTATTATTCTCCCATGAGGACAATTGAAGCAGAATTTTTTGTAATTGAAAACTTGTTCTGTCACATAAAATTGGCACTTGCTTACATATTTGCCAAAATAAAATTCATATGTGTGTTTTTTTCAATAAATCCGTTCTTAAATCAATCAACTTCCTTAGAGCAAAAATTAATTAAAATGGATTAANTGTGCGGTATTTCCGGGAAGCGCTTAAACTTCCCCCTGTACCTTATAGCGCAGCTACGGTGAAATCTTGCATGTTTCAATGTTATGAACATTTTATTTTGGGTATGAGTACATCAATACATATGCACTTCGAACGAGTTTGACTTTAAACAGACTTTCTAAGATGAAGAATAGTGATAAAAATGAGAAGAAAGAATTTTTCAACAGTACATAAGTTAATTTTCCAATGATTCTGGTACACAATATATATGTTCCTTCATTAAAATCTATAAAAAGTAGATTGCCGCATTTAAAAAGTTGTTAAAGCAGTTTTTTGAAATTAAAAGAGAATGTATTACCTAGACTGTAACCTATAACATAATTTCGCATTTTCGTGGTCATTCACCAAACGCTCCTATAAATTTAAAACTATTATCAGAAGTCAACCTCATTGATTTTTCTGAAAATATTTATTCAGTATTCATGTGAACTTCAAAAAGGGTACGAAACGAAATCAACCATATTTGATAATTATTTTACTACGGCTAAAATAACTTGCAATAAAATTATCAATTAAAATTACAAGGCTTTAATTCTTTTAAGCGAACAACAAGTTTTCAAGCTAATTTTGAAAAATTCCTTTGATGTCGCAATTATATGATTATATGCAGTTACGTTCTTTATTGCTTCGAAATAGATTACATGAAAATTATATTGTATATCGCTTTAAATTCTGTTATATTGAAAGTACATTAAATTTGTTCCTGCGAAGATTGTTATATATTTACGTCCTTAGACGTAAACTTAAAAATACTTAAACTATTTATGCAAATCATTGCAGAAAAAAAGTGCCTTGTATATCATGGAAATAAATTCTGATGCATATCTCAGCACGATGCTACGCGAATGCCCTCACTTATATCGACATTATATGCAAATGTAAGCCATTTACGCTCAGCTTCCTAACATTATCTTTCATGACAAAGAAATCATAAATTGCATCCTAATTTTCATCTCAATCCCACGGTGACTTGCGCGACTGGTTTCCAGCACCGATAAAATTCTAATTAGAACGTTCCTTTTTGGCTTAATTTTTTTTTAATTAACGTTGATAAATAATTAAATTAATGAATACGAACCCTACTTATCTTTTGGCTTTATTATAGGCTATTGCTATTTTACTCTTTAATATCTACACTTAGTATTCAGGATGGCTTCCTCAGAAATTGTGTACACAATAATTCACGAAATTACCAGACCGAAAAAATTTGTTTTTCAACAAAAAAGAAAATATATAATATTAATATATAATATTATTATAATAATATTATTTTATATTAATAATCGGAAATGTTGATATCACGTTAACATTCTTAATAATATTACTATTTTTTAAAATAAGATTATACACTGCGAGGGGATAAATTTAGTTTGCAATAAACTATGGAATATAATGCGATTAAAATTGAAAATTGAAATTGCGTACAGTATTTTCACTTAAATCCTTAAACTTAGAGAAATACAAAACGTGACCTAATTAAGTTACCTTGCTTACATTAATACGAGTATTAGATATGTTATCACAGTCTATCATGAGTACTTCCATGTAAAATGTCAGCGATTTTTTGGTGACATTTCCTTCCCTATTGTACATCTTGTACATGGTGAAATAAAACCGAAATAACGATTTTTAATTAAATCAGACTTCGCCCTGCCGTATTGAGTTCATGTTAAATAAGTTATTAAATTGTTTTTTTACTTAAGAAATTATAGATGAATTTTCGATTATCTACCATAAAACGAGTGCAGCTTAGCTACCTAATTTCACGTCTAATGCAGACGACATGACTCTATAGCTGGTTAATAATATCAGGTTTATAATATAAGATTAATAATATCAAGTTAATAATATCAGGTTTATAATAACTGGTTGATAATATCAGGTTTATAATAACTGGTTGATAATATCAGGTTTATAATAACTGGTTGATAATATCAGGTTTATAATAACTGGTTGATAATATCAGGTTTATATAACTGGTTAATAATATCAGGTTTATATAACTGGTTAATAATATCAGGTTTATATAACTGGTTAATAATATCAGGTTTATAATAACTGGTTGATAATATCAGGTTATAATAACTGGTTGATAATATCAGGTTTATATAACTGGTTAATAATATCAGGTTTATATAACTGGTTAATAATATCAGGTTTATATAACTGGTTAATAATATCAGGTTATAATAACTGGTTGATAATATCAGGTTATAATAACTGGTTGATAATATCAGGTTATAATAACTGGTTGATAATATCAAGTTAATAATATCAGGTTATACTCGCTAAAAGCATTTTACATGTGTTATTTCTATGGATGCTGCTACAACTTTAGAATAATTGGGATATGGAGAACAGAAGCTCGTGACGGGATTGTACGACTTGGAAAAAAATGTGTTTTCGAAGCTTTGATATTAACGCAAAAACAATTGGTTAAAAGTAGGTTTAAAGTTCAGTGACTTGAAATATCATGAAGATTTTCAGTAAAGCAGTCAATTTTTGGAGGCACCATAGAAGCAAATTTTTTCTATGCTGAATGTTTTTTACGTCCTAGAAAATTTCGAATAATTTCAGGGCAAAATATTTAGTTTAGGGCATCTCCCGAATATTACTTAAGTTATATAATTTACTAGAAAATGCTTTAAATCTTATCAGTAACGAACAAGTGAGTGGAATTATAATTTTAATACGGTGGAGAAAAGGAGAATGTGTTGCGCGCTCTGGTCCGTATGCTGTACGACGGAGTCCATTTGTACGGAGAAACTGGCCTGGAATCACCCCACTTGGAGCCCACTCACCTCACATGGAGCCCACTCACCCCACTTGGAGCCCACTCACCTCACTTGGAGCATACTCACCCCACTTGGAGCATACTCACCCCACTTGGAGCTCACTCACCCCATTTGGAGCCCATTCACCTCACTTGGAGCCCACTCACCCCACTTGGAGCCCACTCACCCCACTTGGAGCCGAGCACCACAGGACAGGCCCCATGGAGCGTGCTCTCGTCCGGTGCTCCAGACGTGGCCAGGTTGTACCAGAAGGCGGCAGACCCCCGGCGTGGGGGCACCGCCACCCCCAGGCGGGGGAACGCTGTCGCCCCCCCCACCCCCACGTCGCTCAGCTAGAGGGTTGTTATAATAACGATTTGATGGTGATTATAATAAAAATTCAGGTTATAATAATATATTGAGAGTTATTATAATAACAAGTTAGGGTGGTTATAGAAAAATTTCATGGTGATTATAGTAAAATTCAGGCTATAATAATATAGTGATAGTTGTTATAATAACAAGTTGGGTTGGTTATAAAAACATTTGATGGTGATTATAGTAAAATTCAGATTATAATAATATATCGAGGGTTATTATAATAGCAAGTTGGGGTGATTATAAGAACAATTTGATAGTGATTATAGTAAAATTCAGATTATAATAATATATTCAGGGTGATTATAATAATGATTTGATGGAGATTATAATAACTATTCAGGTTATAATAATATATTAAGAGTTATTATAATAACAAGTTTAGGGTGGTTATAATAAGGATTTGATGGTGATAATAGTAAAATTCAGGTGAAATAATATTTTGAGGGTGATTATAATAAGAAATTGTGGTGATTATTATAACGATTTGATGGTTATAATAATAATAATACTAGTAATAATAATAATACTAGTAATAATAATAATCTTAATAATAATAATAATGTTGTTAATAATAATAATAATAATATTGTTACCAATAATAATAATAATAATAATAACCTTTTATAAAGGTAATAGTGTTAAAAAATATTTGTAGGAATAATGACAAGGCTGAGTACCTAACAGATAGTTTTGATTGTGATGAGAAGAATCATTACCCTTATGAATGTGGTGGTGCTAAAAAGTCATCATTGTGATTAAGTCAAAAACTACAATTTTGTAGGATAATTTTTTAGCCAAAACTTTGAGTATAAAAAAGTAATATAACTATTAATCTTTGTTGAATACTGTATATGACACAGGTCATTTTTCTGTAACCAGTTATCACTTTTCATCATTCACAACCATTTCATTTCTTATTGCAATTTCATTTTAATAAATTAGCATCTAATTATCCTCCTAACATAGCAATTTATTAAATTTTGTAATAATTGAGAAAATTATACCTAAAAATTCTCAATTTCAATAGAGAATTGACAAATTCATAATTCATTTAATTAAATGAATTATTAATTCTTCTTAATTCTTAATTATTACTCATTAATTCTTAATACTTACTCATTAATTCTTAATTATTAATTCCTAATATTAATATTAATTAAACAAATAATTCACTGAATTTACTCACGTAGAACATGAATGTGGCGAGGCGGTCGCCCATCTCTAGCTCCCGTGGGTCAATATTCTTCAACTGTTGAATGTAATATTAAATAAATATTACAATATAAATAGTGAAAATCATGAATGTTGTGAAGAGGTTCCTACAATTTATTCAATTCAATCTAACGCAATAAAATACTGAAAAAATTTAGTTGGTGTACACATAGGAATTATTATGAACATGTAAACCAAATTAATTATGACATATTTTAAATTCACTTTTGAATATATATAAAATAAAAATTAATTAAATAATCAATCGCTTTTTATACTATTCTTTCCATACATTGTTCATTTGTATTTACTTCTTATTTGCACTTTCAAACTAAATTCAAAAGTCATTTATTAACTGCCTTGTCGAATTGTGGTTTCGAGGACCAAGGAAACATGAAATTTTCAACCATGGACTCAATCTTCGGTTAGATTCTCAGTAATTAGGTTTAACACAACCTAAATTTCGACCCAATATCATAACATTAAAAAATTTTATATAAAAAACTTTTCCACCTTCAACCTCGGCGTCGAGGTCCTTTTCCCTTACTGGAGCTCAACCCGACCCTGTTCTGCCCTTAACACGACCCTGTTCTGCCCTTAACACGACCCTGTTCTGCCCTTAACCCGACCCTGTTCTGCCC